CGCTGTTGTCACGGCGGTGATGATGCGCGGTGATGACGTCGCGGCTTTATCGACGTGATTTTATCACCGCTATTTTGACGGGCACGGTTTTGTCGTGCCACGGTTTCAATGGCCAGGTCGCAATATTTGGTGATTTTTTCTAGTTCTTTTTCTTCGACTCTGGCATCTCCTGGTATAGTGATATCAATAAACTGTATGCTTCGGCCCTCTACAACTATGATATCTGTCGTGTTGTGTTCCAAATGATGATTTTCGAAAGTCCCACAAGATCTTCACCTTCTCATTTTTGATAACTTTTTCCACTTTATATCCCCATGACTTTCTGGATACGGGTAAATTGTAGTTTTTACATAATGGCCAATGGGTTAATTTAGCAACTCGGTCATGTCTAGATTTGTAATCAGTTTGTGCGATTTTGCTACCTTCACATATTAAATGTGAAACAGTTTCAACTTTTGTTCTTGCAAAGTCAGCAGTTTGTATCTTCGCTTTCATGGCATTAGTTTGTAGTTTATTATTATTATTATTACGATTATTATTATGACCGAGTTGCTAAATTAACCCATTGGTCATTATGTAAAAACTACAATTTACCCGTATCCAGAAAGTCATGGGGATATAAAGTGGAAAAAGTTATCAAAAATGAGAAGTATTATTACGATTATTATTATTGTTATTATCATCATCATCATCATCATCATCATCCTCCATTCCCAAGGAGTTGAAAGTCTCCTGCCACATACCTCCCAACGGCCGATAAGAACTCACAGGCTGGGCCTTCTCCTGGTGCCGTTGACCGGACAATGCCGGCTGGCGGCCCCTCGGGGGAGGGCCTTCTCTGTAGCTGCTCCGACCCTGTGGAACAACCTACCCGTAGAGATCCGGACCTTTCCCACTCTCTCGGCCTTCCAAAAAGCCACTAAAACCTGGATATTCCGGCATGCCTGGGGCTGCTGACTTCATGAATGAGGTCCAGCCTCACCCAGATTGAGTGTATGGTGCATTGTTTTTAAATTGTTTTTCTATTTTTTACTCTGTATTTTAATTTGTTTCTGTAAGCTGCCCCGAGTCCTACGGGATTGGGCGGCATATAAATTTATTAAAAGTTAAAAGTTCAATGCCTTTCCTTTCATTTAGAATTTAGTATTGTCATCATCCCTATAGTGCTTGGCAGCCAAAATAACAAGAATAATTAAGGGTAAATCTAACTGTGCAAAGTTTCCTTGTATCCATCTAAGAGTCCGGTTATCAATGGTTTTCTGGTTTCGGGGGGAGCAGCTGCAAAAAAAATAATCTGCACTGTTAAATCAGTAATTCCAGACATCTTAAAGGTTTATCAGTGCCATGCTGTGTAATAATATGCCCTTACAATCTTTTGCAGCAGAAGAGTTTTCCCACAAAATTCAGTATTTTTGAGAGTGTTCCTGGTTTATTT